CCATTAATCATATGAGTAAAGTAAAAGGGATTTCAGGAAACAACATCTTTTGGTTAAAACGAGTTTTACCAAATCTTTAAAAACCTAGCCTGATTCAACGATTTAATATATTGCCGGGTGGGACCAGAGATGTATACAGTATCTGTATTACATTATACACACAATCACAGCTACAATATGGAGGTATATTAAACATTCATAATGTACAGGAAATTATAACCAGTATATGGGGTAAACGGTTATACTGCCCAGCACTATTCCGGGAATATCACACAACTGTCAGTACAAAAAAATATACAATGACTAGAAAACACACCAACCGCTGGAAAGTGACATCACTGGAGCAGGATTCACGCCAGTTTCTGCAGCCAGTGTGAAGGGTTGCTTTGACATCTCCAATATGGCTGTCAAACATTGCATTTGCCGTTAATTGCAGGGAGAGTAAATATATGTAATTGGACTGGAAGACAATAAATGCAACATCAAAAACTACTGTATGTACCGTGTTTTGCTGGTGTAATTGTTGTGCAACACAGACACACCAGTGCACAAGTATAAATGCTCAGGAGGGCGTAGGCCACTTGCCTGGCTCAATGCAGAGGCATAATTTAGCCTTTACCCCCACCTGCCGTAGGAAGGCTGCTGGAGGTAGTGTCCATGCTGCTGCTTTGTCACTATGTCACTCCCCCCGGGTCGGACACAGTGCTACGTGAAGGTGGCATTTCTGGGACTGCTCAAAAGGTAACACCAGGGCTTAAGGTCCCCACCCAACACTCAAAAGGTCACATCAGGCTCTCCTGCTGCTTCAGCATCACCTAATGTTTAATTGGCTGAAATTTAGCAACTGGACAATTGGGGGCTCCACACAAATGCGTGGTTTGAGTGATGGTAAGCACCACCGCTGGACATACGGTCTGGGTGGAGCAGACCTCGCGCAAAGCTGCCGGTCAGTAAAAGCCTGAAGACTGCAGTCTGCAGGAACTCTAGCAAAGAGATAAGCTGGAGATGGTCAGATGACCCCCCCAGACATTGTGACGGAAGATCAGAAGATAAGGTTACACAGATAGAAGCTCCACATCCTGGTCTGCTCATCGTTAGCATGACTGGGCAGCAAATTGACCTTCAGCCCCCAGAGGTTTTTTCTCCTATTAAACCATGGAGTTTTGTTACCTCTCATCCTTTGTCTTCTGAATGTTATTCATTGCTCCCTTAAATTGTTGTTACCCTAAAGGGGTGCGTCAGTAAGGGACACTGTTGCAAAGCAATTTGGGACAACCATACTGCTAGAAGGCACTACATAAAAAGCCAACTGAATTCCAATTTTGACGACTCATTCATATTTATGATACAGATATTGTGAAAGAATCCCAAAAACGTTTAGCTAACTACAGCACAAATTCTCAGATTAATAGGCCAAACAGCTCAGCTTATTGCTGCTTAAAATAGCATGAATCACACATCTGACTTCACAGAAACATAATCCGTCATATAATTGTAGCCCCTGGAATGAGACATATGCATATAGATAAGCTCCCATTCATGAATGAGACCATGTGCTTTTGTGATCACGTTAGACGTTGTGTGCCAGTAGTTCCACGGCCAAGGCCTTGGCGTGCTGACAGGGCCTCATTCCTAAAGCTTCACCCTCCTACCCTCCTTTCACTAAATATATACAAGAATGAATATTTCAGAACAGAAAACATGTAGCCTAAAATGTCGAACTGTGCTGTTTAAGCTTTTTAAACGCTCCTGAGGACAGCTAACAAGCCCAGCGTTTGGCTGTGTTTCTTACGTTTGGTCACCAGGCCGTTCGCTTGCTCTCTGTAGCTCAGTCTAACTGGAAAGCGGACAGTCAGGTTGGACGGCTTTCTGAGTGTACAGTAGCACACTCCCCTTGGCTTCTGAAGGCTAGCCCCGCCCCCGCGCTCCAATAGGCCGGCTGATTCCGGTGAGACCGCTCGCTTCCCCAGGCACCTGTTGGCACCTGACATTATCGACGAGACCCAAAGCCGCACTGCTCCTGCCAGGTAAGTTATTGCAATTTTACTCCTGTCTCTGCTTCTCCACCTGGTTGGTTCCACCAGGTTCTCCTCATCAGCTGCTGGCATAGGATAGCGGGACATTAATGGCACAATGAAAATATCAAGCTCCAGGGAAACTGAAATAATGTTTAAAGTAACACCTGTTCTGCCGTGGCTGTGGGTTGAAAAGAAACAACTCCGAGGAATTTATGAGTAACTTTGCCTTAAACATTTAAATAATAATAGATGCTTTATTGATCCCAGTGGGGAAATTCTCACTACGCCTTCCCCAACTTGCTCCCTGTAGGTGAGAAAAATCTGGTCGTGAAGGGCAGTGCCCAGGGAGTTAGGGGTCTTGCTCAAGCAGTATTTAACTTCTGTCTTTCTGTAATTTCTTCAGCTATTTCCAGGAACAATTTACCAAATTTTATATGGTAATATAATTTGAGTATATTTCTGTGAAACGATATCACAATTCTATATTGTTTCAGTTGTTGCAGGTTAATCAAAAAACCAAGACAATTGTGCATTTTGGTTAGGTAAGCCTGTTGCTGGGTGGTGTATTTTCTGATGGAAGTGTGTCTTAGACTGAAACAGATTATTATGATAGGAACAAGTTTAACAAGGAATGAGATTTCCGCAACATCAACAGCAAACAGAATCGGTGCAGAGGGTGGTTCTGTTCAGCACGGTAGGGAATATAATCTGAGGGTCATGTAATTATGAATATAAAATATAAGAATGCAAGATGTATGCCATTTAATGTCAGCAAAACCAAATCTCTCATATGATAAAAAGATAAAAGAGATTCATTAACCTCTGGAACAAAAAACACAACATACAAGATATTCAGGGATAAAAGAATAGTTATCAGTTGGATAACTGAGGCTGAAGGACAAGGTGTTTTGTTAGGTTAGGACGTGTGGGACAGAGCAGATGGTCTTGGGTCAACAGTGGAGGACAGGCTTTGATATTGGGGGGCTCACAACAATGTAAATACAAAGTTCTGTTTATTGGGGAAATGAATCCAAATTAAATATGAAGGGACACCTCCCGGCCAGATGCTGACACAGGAGCGATGACACCTGAATGAATGCAAATTTAATATTTGGGGACACACACTCCCCCAACCCCCACTTCCAATGCGCAGATCTCTCGGGCCGGTCCAGGTACCAGATGCTGACACACACTCTGGTGGAAAGAGGTTCCAAAAACGAGCGACAACACACTATGTGTCCCAGGTCAAGATGAAACAGGTCTGTTTTCCTGGATAGGGAGTTCCAGTGATCCTGCGCTTTGTGAATGTAGCAATACAGGTTAATTACACAAGCAGGAGGTAACAGGAGTGACTGGCAGGAGAACACAGAAGAGTAGAGTCATCCCAACACATCATAGACAAACACACTAAGTATTAAGTATTAATTGGTTTTTCATTTGAGTTCTTTTGATGAATGGAGTTCCTAACGTCATCGGAGTGACCCTGGAGGTTACAAAGGCTGTGGATTTTCTTCCTACAGGCTAGAGTCTCTAGTCAGACAATGTCAGAGTAGGAACATCACATTTACCCCAAAGCAAAAGCGGCACCCCAAATAATAAAAGCAGGTAAAGAGGCTGCTGCTTATGTTGAACAATCTGTCTGAAATGCAGCTTTTTTTACTATTTGCACAGGCACATTGGAATGTGTTATTTTTACCATATCCCATCATGCTCTTCTTTAAGAGACACACACATACAGTAGAGTTTGGGGTCTGAGCAGAGTGTCAGCCATCCATCCAGTATCCCTGGTGCAGTTTTCAGATGGTTAGGTACCCTGCTGAGCACGGGATTCAAACCAGCAACCTTCTCCTCACAGGCACAGAGGCCTAACCCGCTGAGTCACACAGAGCCCTCCATGGGTATGGCTGTGTATACGTGACGGTCACATGATGCCCCAAAGCTCTGCTATCACTTGCACAAAGGTGCGGCCAGGCCGAGTTCAGACAGCCACCCTGTTTCTGGGATTCCTGCAATGATGTTATTGCTGCAAAGACAAAAGGAAACCACCAGAAAAACCACACTCTCATTAATGTAAAACAGAGAGCCTAAACAGAACAGCTTATGCAATATAAGTGTGTGAAATATAGGCGTGTCACATGGATCCTGAGTGTACTCTGAGTTCCTTTTACGATGGATATTTATTAAAACACAGGTGGAATTGGTTTTCATGTTGCAAACCATGGCGAAATCCTTTAAATCCGTTTTAAAGGTTATTTTTTCCTTAAATAGAAGACATACGATAGAAATAAACAGACACCAGTGGTCATCCTGGATTTTAGAAAAAATTATGACATTGTTCATATATATTGTTCAGTCCAACAATAACTGCTTATCCGGCACTGGAGCTGAAATGCCGTAGACATGATAACAGGACAGCCACACATGCACTGACAGCCACATGCACTGACAGCCACATGCCACAGGTAATGTAGAGACACCGACTCACTCGACTGACACGTCTTGGTGCTGTGGGAGAATCTTGGGGGAAATCTGTCACAGAGCAGGACAGGATACAGACTCCAACCCTGGTGGGGCAAGGCAACAGCCCCCCTGACTTACCAAACCACTAACCTTTTAAATCCCCTGTCAAAATGTGACCATTTTAAGGGGTTAATTAAACACATTTAGGAATCTTGGACAGTAATTCCACGCTGTTAGTTCCACGCTGTGATATATGTGACATATGCGAGGTGTTCCAGTGCGGCCAGATGTCCTCATTCTCTTAAACTAAAAAGCAGCTGTTTCTCAGCTTCTGATAGTTTATATTTCTTTACATGGCAGAGAAAGAGGAGCCATGTACCTGCCCACAGTGACACCCATCATCCTGCTGCTCACCCTCCAAGCCTTCGGGGGCCGAGGAGACAACGTACAAGACAGCCCTCCACCAGGATTACTCCCACTCCAGCTCAACGATACCGGTGTAAATGACACCACAATGTCACGGCTGGAAAAGTTCATGAAGGAAAGTGCTAAAATCTGGGATTCAATGAACACCAAAGTGGACACACCCCTAATCAACAATACTACTGGGATTGAACCACCTCTATCCCCAAACAATACTGGGAATGAGAGGCTTCTAACGTCCAATACTGCAGGAATTAATGTGTCCTTAACCTCCAATATCACTGTACCTGTACCTCTCAATACCACAGTCACCAACACTTCCGATAGTAACAATACCATGGTGGCAAATACACCCCTTAGCAACAATACCACAGACGCTAACACATCCCATAGTAACAATACCATGGTAACTGTCACACCCCTTAGCAACAATATCACAGTGACTGATACACCCCTTAGCAACAATACCAATGTGACTGCCACGCCCACTATAAGTAATACTACATTGAATGCCACGCCCCCTTTCAGCAATACTACAGTGAATGCCACGCCCCCTTTCAGCAATACTACAGTGGATGCCACGCCCCCTATCAGCAATACTACAGTGGATGCCACGCCCCCTATCAGCAATACTACAGTGGATGCCACGCCCCCTATCAGCAATACCACTGTGGCTTCTACGACTCATATCATCAACATCAACACCACGACCCTCAGCACTAGCTACTCCCCTACACTAAACACCACTATCCAAGTCGTCAATTCCACAGCCAACTCGTCGCTTGGGGATGACGCAGAGAAAGGTAAGAGAAGGCGCCGTTTGAGGAGCGCGGCATTGCCTTGTAAAAAATATGCTGGAACATTCCACCAAACCGTGATACATGCTACAGCTTCTGGCTACTTTCCCCTTCAGGTATACAGTGTATACCGGGCTTCATACTCAAACGGAGCTGTTCTATTTCACTCTTGGCCAGCACTTCTAGGATCCTTCATTCCTGCAACACACTTAGCACTTCACTGATTTACTTCCACACTGGTCTGGTTTCCTATTCAGATTAGACCCTCGCGGTCGGAACAATAGCTGCTCTGTTTGGGAGCATTTCAGCCGGTGTAGCCAGAGCTGGTACTCGGGACTGGGGCCGGGAGATGGCAGGAAACGTCAGAATCAGGCTGCTCGGCCTCGGCTCTGAAGGGTGCTCCCACCTTCAGGTAGTTATCATAGTACAGGCGTACTACGTGCACATTAGCAGCTAGCTGGCTAAGAATTTGGCCTCAGTTTATGAAAACAGGGGCTGTATCCAACACAGCATAAGGAATCTGCTACAATGACTAGTGCTGGCTCTGTGCTCCTTGCTGGCCTGTGTTTAATAAAACGAGGACACCTGAGATGCAGCACAGACAGCAAGCAGGGACCGTAAAGCCTCCATGTGCCTTAGCTTGTTCTTCCAAAGTCAGGGGCCAGTATCATTAGCTAATTTTCCCACGCAGCAAAGTGTGACTCAGTGCTTATCTGAGCTTCGCAAATAGTAGCCCTTAAAGCTGTTAAATTCTACCCATAACAGCTGACCTGTTTCCACTTAAACCAACACACAGGCAGGCTCTCAATATCGAAATAAACTACCATTAAATGACAGTTATTTAGCTCCAGAGGATTTTGCATTCCTACAGGAATCCCCTTCGAAATTTCCATGTATTGTCAACACATAGCTTCAATAGTGATGGTTCCATTCATTTTGTAAATGGAGAGAAATATTTATGCCATTATTTTTCTTTGTAAGTGATTTTATCTTGCATACATTATCCTTGCTGGATTTTTAAACCACTACAGATTTTACAGAACAAGGGGAAGCAGGCAAAGGACAGATCCATTTGGGATTCAGTACAGGGCTTCAAACCTGGCAAGGGATTTGTAGACCAACACCTGTAATTAGACAATGAGATCCAGCCTCTATTATTTGTGATCAAGCCCAAACAGAGACCCCATAAGTGAAGCGATTGAATAAATGTGTTTCCTATGTTTTGTTGTAATAGTAATAATAAATTTTACATACTGTAAGTGCTTTTCAAACCCTAAGATGCTAAATAATCAACCAGTTGAGTACTCTATAACCGTGATGCTTTATACTCAACTGCTTTGTTGTAAGAAAACCTCAGGCTGGATTTTTACTTTCTGGACCTGAAAAGTCCACCACTGACCCTAACAATAATGAAAAACACGGCAGGGTAGTAATGGAGACATTACGAATTCTAGGGTTTTTCGCGACGCAGACGCAGCGCAGAGTCGTGTTCGGGGTCATCATTGGTGTGGTGCTGGCAGCGGCCATTGTGGCGATGATCGTCTACGGCGTCCGGAACAGCAGGAGGGCTGGAGGCTTCTCACACCGCAAACTGATTGAGGATTCGCCCACGGAACCAGGTACTGCCACAGTGCTGCAGCAGAACCGAGAAAACTGGACTAATAGATAATAACCCTAAAAGATGAATAAAATATCTCCATAAAGTCTCTAGTAACAGTCTTTCCAACTAAAGCGTAGTATTGTGTCCCAACAATGTAGTAGTATTGCTGTTGACCACCTACAGTAGTTCCTATAAGAACAGGGAATCTCTGATGTCCATGTAGCTCACAGTCCTGCATGGCACCGTGACTGACGCATTCACACCAGGTGCTGCTTTGCTCTGCAGTTCTCCGATTGGACCACAGCGATCCTGTACCAATGGACCACATGGTCTACTACAGACCCTCCCACGATGTTGACAGCATTCAGATGTCTACCTTTCCTCGGGGGCAGCATCATTGAACCACGGGGTGTGTCACCTAACCCCCCCCCCCCCTTCCCCCCACAATGGGCACTAAAGCTGCAGTCTTCGCAGAGCCAATAGAAACATGAAATAGCAGCTCCTGAATTTTACCACACAGTTCCTCACTCACCGATAGTATATGAATGTATGTACTTTTAGAATCCCTGAAAGTCAGTTATCTAATGATTATGTGCCATTTACTAATCTGCTTTTCATCTTCCATCTAGTGGCAAGAGGTGCTGAGGATGGATTTATTCAATATAAATGTTCCTGGAGTACAAATCACGCAAAACAAGCAAGAGACTGATATTGAGGACTTTTTATTGCTTTAAGTGACGGTCTTTTCCTTTTACATTCCTGATGTGGTAAAATGGTGTGTGACTTTAAATGATAATGAACAAAATACCAAAGAACAATGGAATGCTGTAGTTCTGCATGTGCATCTGATACAGGAGGACTGCTGTAAGTGCCATGTGACTCCAGATGCCTGCTGGGAAGCTGTCCCTCACACACACACACACACACACACACACACACAGATTAGGTACCTATATCTTTGTGGAGACTCTCCATTGCTTTCTATGGTCACAACCCTAATCCCAATTCAACAACCGTAACCCCTACCCAGCCCTAACTTTAACCATAAGTAACCAAATAAAACATGAGACTTTTGGCATTATTAGTTTTTTGATTGCATTCACAGATCTTTGTGGGGACCTGGAAAATAGTCACAATGTCAAAATAATACGTTTTTATGACATTGTGGGGGACATTTGGTCTCCACAATGTAATATAAACATAATACGCACACACACACACACACACATAACTACTTGACTAGGTGGTTGGATATATTTGAAAAATGTCTGATCTATTTCATATACAAATATAAACAAATGCATATATTACAGCATTTTGTTTTAATTGATGGTAATTGTTCAATTTTGGGGGGCAAATCATTTCATTTTTTTGTAATTTTTCTTACTTTTTTATTAAAATATTTATGACGCTGACCACATCATCCTTCATTTCATCTGTATTATCTTTTATATAATTAAATGTTTACATGATAATGTATATTTGAATCCACTGTGTTTCTCTGCCTTAAAGATGATGGACCTTGAGCAGTTGAGAATGTTTTGGAACCACACTGCACCAGTCTGTCAGGCTATTGCCAGTGTCGTTTTCCATGATGGGCTAAACGTTGTATGTCACTGCGTTTGACAGAAGTCATTATAAATGACTTCTTTGACATGCAAATTGTTCATCATTGTGACATAAGTTCAGGGATCTGGCAAACTGCTGTGCAGTTTCATTCATGCAGCTTACGAGCTGCTCTTTTTACTTTTTAAGTCTGTTTATTGACATTTTTCTTTAATGTGAACCAAGGCTTTGAGATTCATTAGTGCTCCAGTAAATGATTATTTTAAGTCATCCAGCTGTGTGAGCAATGCTAGTTCCTTTTCTTAAAGTGTACTTTGTGAAATTCTTCAGTCAGCTTCCTGACTGCATTACAAACACAAACACATCTAGCCTGGTCGAGGCGTATGAGTCATAGTAATTCATGGTTGTAGTAAATAAAACACCATTTTCAGTGCCAGTCAACCCATTAGGTGACACAGTTGGCCACCTAGAGTATCATCTTCTTGGTGGGGGGGGGGGCACCAACTTAGCAAGCGAATTTCATTCTGTCTCAGACAGGGGGCGCTGGCGGTTAAGCTTGCCTAGGATGTCACTTGAGCTTCGACCAGTACTGACTGTACATAAAAACATTTCAGTGACTGAACCAATTATTTGGTATTATTTAGGTATTATTTACCTAGCTAAACTGGAACTGCACACCCATCACACTCAAAATGCCTGTTGGCATAGGTAATACATATAAGGCCTTCATGGTTGTGTGTTTAGTGATGAGAAACAAAAGGAATGTAGGTGGCACATTGGCTATAACTGTTGTGTCTCTCCTCTGGGACTGGGGTTCCGGTCTCAGGCCTAGTTCTATAGATGTGGAGTTTGTATGTTCTCCTTGGGTCATTGTCGGCTTTCCACTGGGTTCTCTAGCTTCCCCCACTGTCCAAGAACATGCTAAGTTGACTTGGAGTTGAGCAAATGGTGATTATGCCCAATGATGGTGTTGGGCATTTCAGGTCCAACAAGTACAAATCCAGATCAGAGGTTTGTTTCTACCAACCAGCAGAGTACGCTATGACTATTTATACTCAACTGGTTGGTAGAAACAAAATCCTGGTCTGCATTTGTACTTGTTGGACCTGAAATGCCCAACGCTAAGGTAGGATTCTGTCTATTGTCTACTGTCTACTCCACTCAGTTGGACCTACTGTAGATTCATGCTACTAATATTGTTGTTTCTGTAGTACTCAAAAGTGCCTGCTGGTCTCTGCCAATTTGTTCTCTCAGGTAAGTAATCAACAGTGAGTTAGGGGGCGGGGCTTACTAAGATAGTGTCTGGTGGTATGGTGGTTTGGCCTACTGACAACTCTCCAAAACATGGCGTACGGATAAAACCAGAAATGTGTTTAATAAGACAAAGAAGCAGGCAGCAGTTGCAGCATTACAGTTCATTATGTTTCAGACAGTGTTACAAAAGATGACCCCCATGCGGGGGACGCGACCCCAGGTGGTGACGGTGCTGCTGTGCCAAGCTCACCTCCCGTGCCTCGGACACCGACCGCCGACCATCTACCCGTGTGCTGACGGACACTGTCAATGCAGTAGCGGATGCGGAAAGAGATGTGGCCAATGAACTAAGGAATCTAACCGATGTACTATGTGATATCGACCACAAATTAAATGAACTGGTTGAAAGATAAATGCTGCATCTGATTGCCAGTTTTTCCATTCTGTTAATTGCATGCAAACAAAGTTGTAACGCTGTCCGATTTGGCGAAACGTTCGGTGCGTCAGGGTCAGGGTCAGGTTCAGGTTCATCGTACCGCATCTCTCGACATTATGCAGCACGCTACATGCTAACAGACCGCGAGGCACTTTCTGTGGCCTGCAGGGCAGCACTTCACCAGTCTTACCCAGGCAGTGCCAACAGCCCTTAAACTGCCCTGCAGTACATTCTACCACCGTCTGAGCCCGAGAGAGGAGGCCATTATAATGTCACTCTTGTTCAGTCAATGGGTTGGCGAGTGGGGTGGGAAGCGGGCATAGCACTCTCACCAAAGTAATCCTCTTATATGGTTACATCATACATATAACTTACAATTTTGACCAAAGGGGTAACATTAAATGTTTCAGCCATCGCAGCATTTCAGGTTTATTCCCAACACTGCTATTTGTCAGAATGAATGAACCACGAGATGAGCCAGGCCATCTTACCGCAACATCAACGAGACGCATTTTCGCACAGTAATAGAGTGGAAATTCAGCCGTGAAAAAAATTAAGAGACCACAGCACTCATTTCTCAATTTATGGGTGTTCATCTGTGAATAATATATTTATTTTTTGCAAACTGCAGCCTGGTTCTTCCCTGTTTCTCATTAATGAAGCACTCCATGCTTTACGGAATGTCAGTCCTGCTCCAGGAGCCCGATACAAACTCTCCTAGCGGTGCATTTCACACCTGCACTTAATGTTTCCCATTCCTTTTGAAGGTCACTTGATGTCATCCAACGATTCATGAGAAACTGTCGGGTAAGTTAGCGGTCATCTCTGGCATTAGAATGTCGCTTCCACCCTTTACCTGGCTGGTTTCTGGTCATTCCCAGTGTCTCCTGCTTCAATATACTTGTGTACTGCTGTCTTAAAAATTCTGAAGCTGAAAGCAGAGGTGCTGATCATTAACCTTTAATTAGGGGCCAAACTGCAAGGGGTGCCTACAGTTTGAAGGGGCCTTTACTGCCACCATTAACTAAGCTAAAACAATCACCGTGGCCGTGATGCTACTATTATCACCCCCATCATTATTGTGGTTTCTGTTTTTATTATATGTCTCCTTCATTAAGTGGGCAGCATGGGAGTGCAGTCGCTAGCACTGTCCCCTCAGTTTGTACGCACCCCCCCGCCCCCCCGTCACTGTGGGGTTCCCGCTGGGTAGGTACTCTCTGCGTAAGGCTCTTAGTCACCAGTTACTCCAGGGACTGTCTGACCCAACATTTGACCCAGTATCTGCAAAATAAATAGAATGTGAGAATTTACAGTCTATAGTACTCCTGTCTAATCATTCACTTCTGCTTCAAAGGGAGCTGGAGATTTCTGTCTGAAATTACACGCGATGATTTCATGTGCATCTGTAGATTAGCTACATTACTGCCCTCCATTCCTGCCCTTTGGTTTAAAAACTCGGCCTTCATCCACTCATACATATCACACGTAGCCCATGTCTGTTCCTGCTCTTCTATGACATTTATTTATTGTTTATTGCTATTGTTTATCTGACCGCACAAGTGCTACGCCCGGTGGTGCTTTCTTTTGCACGTTGCCACAATAAAGTCTGCATTTTAGTGTACAAATGTGTGTTTATGTTCCCTCTGGATTTCTTCTTGTTTGGCAGGGTTGCGTGAAAATGGAATTAGTTCTGAGGGGGATTATTCCTTTAAATTTGAAAGTTGTAACGTGGGTGAAAGGCTGGTATCCCAGCAAAATTTAACAGCTTAAAATAATTAGCCTGTCAGCTAAACTTGGAAATGAGGGTTACAGAGGGTCCCAAGGCAGTAGGTACCTCTGAACATGTTTAACCTTAGTGCTGTGTTAGCTTCCTGTTCCTGTCTCTTATGTTAGACGGGTCGGTGCCGACCCGTGTCTTAAATCAGCCATAAAATACCCTAAAAATAATTATTTATCATCCAGTTTGTTTCTTACCTCTTGGTTACCTTGTTAGGCTTCCTTATCCATGAAAAGATTGGTTTTAATATTTTTGGTGTGGCTTTCTGGACCTTTCTTTTGACAGCATACCCCTCGTTTTCAAAAAAAAATAAAAAATGATGGTAAAATAAACCTCAAAAGAATTAAATAAATAAACTGAATTGGTCTTACTGTATCTTACCTTACATGTACGGGAATGCCTTGCCTTGTTTTTGTTTTAATTTATTTTGTTTAAATAGAGGTTCCTGACAAACTCAAAAAGCCTTGATGCAGTACACAAATCTATGTGGGGCTTTTATGCATTTTAAAGGAAGGAATGCTTGTCTGGACCGAACTGCCTGCTCATGCAGGTCAGACATTGCCCCCTTGTGGTGAGGAGAATGACCCAATGTGACATTTCTATGACATGACACGTTCACCATATATCTGATTTGAAATGGGATTTATAGTATCTGACACAGTCAGACCTCGACTCGACCTGCAAAATCCCACTGCATATGACATAAATCTCTTGAATTCTGACATCTGGAAATATTTTGCTCTTCTCCTTGCTCTGATCGCATTGCTAGTTTGTACATGCCACTCTCTCTAAATTAGCACACAGGGCTTCATGCGTTAGTGGCGCTGTTGCTCCCACCACCGTGGAGCTCATCAGCGGCTTCGGGAAACGCCGCCGCTCGCATCTTCCGATCGCCGTCTTCGACTACGGCCCTGTACACTATCATCTCTCACCACTAGATGGCACTGTTGATTGGTTTTAATGTAAATGGCAGCACACGTTATTGATGATACAA